GAAGTACTGAAGATAGCATGCATAGGCAAGAAAAAGTCATTAGCTTTATGTTGTTGTTGTTTCAGAATTTAAAAAATCACGAAGGCGAGGACTTCTCAGTTCTAGCACTAGAGGTGGACTCATAGCACACAATCAGATGTTCTTCAAAATTTCTAGACATATGATTCAAAGCCCTGGACTTAAAATAGTCTCGTTTAAATTTACTGTTTATAAAAATTGTGGAAATATTGAGTTTATGTATGTTTCAGAGGTCCTACATTTGAATGAAATTTGTAAATTATTACTTAAGTTTTGAGTAAGAGCAATGCTATTTGGCCCAACTTAAGGTGGTGCAGGAAGCTAAAGGGAAGGAAGCAGCAAAAGCACATTCTGAACAACTTCAAAGTAATTTTTATCTATGTTACTCTTAGTTTATAGAATGCATTAGCCAATGCAATTTAATTAATAAAACCCCAATTATTTCTTAGAATCTTAATCATGAGATTAAATGAAGACAAGTTTATTTATTCAAGGTCCCAAAAGGTCAAAGAAACCAGGAAAGTAAAGCTGTATTTCAGAGGAAAATGGGTTATTTATAAGTTTTCTAAGATGACGGACTCAAGTTTTAACCTTCAAGTCCCATGATGTAGGAAAGTGTGGCATAACTGGCCATTAAAGATCCCTCCTGCTTAATTAACATTCACAAGTATCTCAGGCTGTACTTGAGGCACAGTAGCTCCAGAAGTCAGTCAAACAATAAGATGTCTGTGTTGCAAGTTGCCAGGCAGAGGGATCATTCTTGAGAATGAGCCCCAGCCCTGGCTCAAACTCACCTGCAAACTTTGTGAGAAATGAGGCAGAGGCACGGTGTGAAGGCAACAGGAGCTAAATGATGAAAACACATGGACATATACAGGGAAACAATTCACACGGTGGCCTATCAGTGAGTGGAGTATGAGAGGAGAGGATCAGAAAAGGTGTCTAGTGGATGCTAAACTTAATATCTGGGTAATGAGATAATCTATACAACAAACCCCCACGACACTCATTTATCTGTGTAACAAATCTGCACATCCTCTACATACCCCTGAACTTAAAATAAAGGTTAAAAAAAAGAAAGCAACAGTTTGAACACTTGTTATGGTCTATTTTCTCACTCTTTACAATCACTCTAGAAAATAGCCACAGGCTTCCTGCAAAGTAGCACAGAATTTATTACTTGTGATATCTAAGTCATTCCTGGCTAATGCAAAATCTAATACAAAATCTAGTAGAATCAGTTGCTTACATCTATTTCTGTTCTGATAATATAAATTTAGATACATAATGGAAGCAGAATAATTTATAATCTCACTAATTAAGAATCCTAAGCAGCCCTTTTCCCTTCAGCGATTTACAAGCCTTGCTCATAATTTTACTATTTTAAAATTGAAAATAAAGTAACTTATTTGTGGTAAAGAATATTCATTAATTTTATTTTAGATAATACCATGAAAAACATTCAGTGAAGGGTCTACTTTACCTAACAATAATCTAATTTATATAATTTTTCATACTAATAGAATCTCAAACTATCTAGTATTTGATGTTTTAAACATGTGCCATAAATTAGCCAGAAAGATTTAAGAAAATATTGGATGTTTTCCTGTTTAAATTAGGCATCTTACATTTTTCAGAATCCTGCATAGAGCTTATGAAATTACATATGCTATAGCAAACCCTAAGAGGCAAGAATTCATCTTCATCAAATTTGGGTGTTTCTTTCTAAAAGGCCTTTACTCTTAAATGTCTTAAGACATGCATAGATTTTATTTTACTATTTTTAAATTATGTAGACAATAAATAAATATTCTTACTGATTACTTTTTCTCACCATCGAATCCTTCTGATCTATCCTGGATGGCCACGTCACTTAACTCTCTAAACTTTGTGCTTTTAATATAGGAAAGAAAGGCAATAATCTTCTTTTTCATGGCGTCTCATATGATAAACAAATAAAATGCTTAAAAATGAGCAGCTGAAGCAATTTGTCTTGAACCAACAAGCGTCAGAGCAATAATGAGACTGGCTGCAGCCTACCTGACTTCTAAGTCAGAATTTATAAGCCTTGTTACTGAGACACAAACTAGGGCCTTTCAATGCTATAACCTTTCTTGAAGCTCTTCCCTACAACATTTAGCCAAAGGAGGCATGGAATGGGCCAGATCCCTGGTTGCAAGCCAGGTCTGGAACCACAGGCAGTAAGGAGAGGAGAAAATGTGGGCCCTGCAACTGGCTCTGAGGGGGGAAGAGAGATAAACCCCATCCTCTGAATCTAAGAGAAGACTGGTGTCCACACTCTGAAAGGGAGGAATGCTGGGATTACCCATATGGTTTGCTTCAGGGAGAAATCTGTTCTCCAAACTCTTGGCCCTGAGAGGAAGGGCCACTGCCTTCACACTGTGGATCTGTAGCAAATTTTTCCTGAAAACCCAGAGCTATATCTTCATTGGTTAAAAAAAAATTATTATCTCAAGAACTGTTCTTCCCTGCATAGCCAAGCTCAGCTTGGTTCAAGCTACAAGCAGCTGAGCTTCTTTTTGTCTATTCATTGTTCTTTTACTTGAGTGATCAAATATGTTCTCTCCAAACCATGAATCCTGTCTTTTTAGGCTATATATTTTGTCCAAGGAGGTCTTAATCTTGGGTCCACAGAACACTAGGGGCTTGGGGAAGTTTTATGGAAAAAATGTATATTTTTACTTACATGTAACTGAAATTTAGTATTTTTTTCTACTTCGAATGCAAAGAACAAGCTAGAGTAGTATCGTTAGTACCTATTGTATAGTTATAAAGAGAAACCACAGATATTTTTCATACCACTCCATATTCATTGCAGATATTTTTGTTTTTGTTTGAGATGGAGTTTCACTATTGTCACCTAGGCTGGAGTGCAGTGGCACAATCTCGGCTCCCTGCAACCTCCTCCTCCTGTGTTCAAGTGATTCTCCTGCCTCAGCCTTCCAAGTAGTTGGGATTACAGGCACCTGCCACAATGCCCACCTAATTTTTGTATTTTTAGTAGATATGGGGTTTCGGCATGTTGACCAGGCTGGTCTTGAACTACTGACCTCAGGTGATCCACTCACCTCAGCCTCCCAAAGTGCTGGGATTATAGGCATGAGCCACTGTGCCTGGCTCATTGCAGCTATTTTTAACTAACATGTATCTGCATCACTACTTGTATCTAGAGTAAGCTGTAGACCCAATCCCAGATCCAATGTTTTCATAAAGAAGCAAATATAATAATACTATATGACAAATACTATATGACAATATAATGACAGTATTATAAATAATACTATATGACAAAATACCATATGACAAATGTGATCTTTGGATATTTTATGACTATATTTCAGTATAATCAATTTTCTTAGCAATCCTATGTATATTATTTTATTCAATAAAAACATACTTTTTAGAACTTATAGTCTGCCAAACTAGTCTGTGACACGAAAGAAGTTAAGGAATTTCTGGTTATGTCTGTGGTAGCCAAAAGTTAGAATATATACTCAGAAAGATACTGTTGGTTAATAGCTAAAATAAAATGGAGTAGAAATTCAGTGGCCTGGAATAATAACCGTTTGGGCAGTCATTAAGTCGGGTGAAGACTTCTGGAACCATGGGAGAAAGGTAAGGAAAGCATTCTTATTGCCACAAGTTTTTTCTTTTTTTTTTGTAGTCGCAAACATAAGAAAACATAACTGATAACAAGGTGAGGTTATAGAAGAGAGAATCACTCCTAGGAAACTTGGAATGTGGAATCCCCAAAGGCACTTGACTTGGGAGACAAAAGTTGTACTGCTAAGTAAAAAAGACCAAAAAAGACCTCTATGGAATGAAAATGCAGGAAATTGTAGGAAGAGAAATTCCCAGATCTGGCAGGGCAAGGGAAGCCATTGGGGAAAGAAATGATAGAAATGGATGGAGAATGAGCCAGAAGAAGGAACTGGGCTGGGACAATGAGATTATAGTGATGTAAGGGACTTTTCTAGATTTAACAATGCTAGAATTTGTGCAACTCTGCTTCTGTTATTTCCCCAATCATTAACTCTGTCACATTGATGGTTTAATAACTTCTGTGACTTTATTCCTTGATTCTAAAAAAAATGAGAATAATGACAATGGAATTATAAGAGCAGATTAAGCAATATACCATAGGTGATATTCTTCGGGCACATGGATCGAATTGGATACACTATAAATCCCAACTTCCAGTTTCAGCTATACCAGGTAAAGAGCTAGCAAGTCATCACAATGAGTACATAAAAAAAAAAAAAAAAGAAACGAACACTAGAGGAATTTTAAGTCTCTGCTATCTGTGGCTACAAACACTAAAATATACCCTGACTCCTAGCCTATATGATATATTGATTCACTTTTTCTCTGTTTGATAGCAAATTCTGGTTTTAAATAATTTTAGGATTTTAGGCTTCTCAGCTGCCTTTCCGATGAGAAGTATAAGTAGGACAGACAGGCAAGCAAGAAGAGAGCCCAGACAATACCCCCAAAGTAGCCAGTGTCCCCATGGTCACAGAGAAATGAGAGAAGAGTCCCTGGAAGCCCCGAATGTAATCTTTTCTGTCTGTCCTCTCTAGGGAATCACCCCAAGGTACTGTACTTTGGGGTTAAGGCTTTAGTCCCACTGTGGACACCTGCTATTCTGTTCGGTTTAGAGAAGAAACTATGTATGGTTTTTGTCTCCCTCAAAAACTTAAGGTACAGAAGTTTTGTTTACAATGCACTCCTTAAGAGAGTTAGAACTGGCTGAGATTCTAACGGCTTTATTTTTTTTTTCTTGGCCCATTCTTGTCACAGTCACCATTCTTTAATACAAATATTAAACATACTTTGACTGAAACTTTTTTTTCTATTTTTAGCTTTGCTCCTTTCGATGTGGCTTTCTTGGAAAAGAAGAATGGGAGAGATGGGTATCATTTTTGAAGATGATGAAAAGTGTTAAAAAGGGGACAAATGGAAAAATTTGTGTAGCAGATAGATGAGGAACCAACAAAAAAGGGTCTCAGGATCTGGCACACGTTATCTCAGACTTAGTGTCCATCCACCACAGCTGACCCTTTCCGGACCTGACTCCACCCCTGAGGGACGCAGTTCAACCTTGACCAATGACTTTTAAGTACCATGGAGAATAGGGGGCAGAACTTCAGCAGTAAAGAATAAAAGGCCACACAGAGAAGCAGCCGCACATATCTGCTTCCGACACAGCTACAATCACCAGCAAGCTCTCAGACCTGACATCATGGTGCATTTTACTGCTGAGGAGAAGGCTGCCATCACTAGCCTGTGGGGCAAGATGAATGTGGAAGAGGCTGGAGGTGAAGCCTTGGGCAGGTAAGCATTGGTTTTCAATGCATGGGAATGAAGGGTGAATATTACCTTTGCAAGTTGATTGGGAAAGTCCTCAAGATTTGTTAGCATCTCTAATTTTGTATCTGATATGGTATGGTGTCATTTCACAGACTCCTCGTTGTATACCCCTGGACCCAGAGATTTTTCGACAACTTTGGAAACCTGTCCTCTCCCTCTGCCATCCTGGGCAACCCCAAGGTCAAGGCCCATGGCAAGAAGGTGCTGACTTCCTTTGGAGATGCTATTAAAAACATGGACAACCTCAAGACCACCTTTGCTAAGCTAAGTGAGCTGCACTGTGACAAGCTGCATGTGGATCCTGAGAACTTCAGGGTGAGTTCAGGCACAGGTGATGTGATTTTCTTCGCTTTACATATTGACATTAATTGAGACTGAGACTCTTACTGGAAACATCAACAAAGATCTCAGAAATCATGGGTCTAGCTTGATTTTAGAACAGCAGACTTCTAGTGGGCATAACCAAGGCTAACTTGATTCAGAGCTAGTGACAGTAAAGGGCTACTAGCAGCCTGAATTGGCTTAACTTTTCAGGAAATCTTGCCAGAACTTGATGTGTTTATCCTGGAGAATCATATTATAAAATTGTAGACTTGTGCAAGGCGAATGAAACTTTTGGTAGATGAAAGCCTGTTTCAAGGAAATAGAAATGCCTTATTTAAGTGGGTCATGATAACTGAGGTTTAGGAAGAGATGTTTGAAGAAAAAAATTAAACTATTTTCTCAAAGAAAAATAAGACAAATTTTCTAAAATACATTAAATTTCCCATCAGTATTGTGACCAAGCGAAGGTTTGTTTCTGTATTTGCTGCAGATTTTAAATTCCCACTGAGAACTCTTGCAGCACTAACATTCTAAGTTTACGGAAATTAGATAACTGGTTAAAGAAAATGCTGGTGAAATGGGGAGAGAGGGTAAGGGTATAGGTAGGTAGAATGTTGAATGTAGGGCTCATAAAAACAAAATTGAACCCAAGCTCATCTGAATGTTTTGGGTAGGCACAAACCTTGGGACAGTTTGAGGTCAGGGTTGCCAAGGAATGTAGGTATAAAGCCTTTTTTTCAGCAAATTGGTTTTGGAAACTTCTATTCAACATGCTTATGTGTTATTTTGTCTTTTGCCTAACAGCTTCTGGGTAACGTGTTGGTGATTATTCTGGCTACTCACTTTGGCAAGGAGTTCACTCCTGAAGTGCAGGCTGCCTGGCAGAAGCTGGTGTCTGCTGTGGCCATTGCCCTGGGCCACAAGTACCACTGAGTTATCTTCCAGTTTGCCAGTGTTCCTGTGACCCTGACACCCTCCTTCTGCACATGAATACTGGGCTTAGCCTTGAGAGGAAGGCTTCTGTTTAATAAAGTACATTTGCTTCAGTAATCAAAAATTGTGACTTTATCTTTTCCATCTTATACTCTTGTGTTAGAGGAAAAGTGTTCATGGGCTGAGGAATGGGGAGAAATATAGGAAGAATCAAGAACTTCCTTTAGAAATGTATGAGGGCTTGTAAAATTAATGTGGATGTTATGGGAGAATTCCAGGATTCCAAGGAGGATGACATGATAGGAAAAACCTTTATAGGGGTGGGAAAATGGTTAAAGTGGGCAGAGACTCTTAGGCAGTTTTTACTGCACAGGGTAAAGAAGGAGGTGTTAGTGGTACCCAAGAAAGCGGATTTGTGGTACATGTCACTTTTCATTAAAACAAAATTTATAGTTATCCAAGATGTAAGATAGAATTACTATTTTAATTTACTCTTATTTAAATTTTGAAATAGCTAGCTTGTCACACGTTTTATGAAATTGATTTGGAGATAAGATGAGTTGAGTGTGTATCAACAATAGCCTGCTCTTTCCTGAAGGATTCCATTGTCCCAAGGGTTAGCCGAGGCTAAGACACAATATCATTGTGCACTATCTTCTGATAGAATATAACATGCACTAAAATAAAGTTAGAGTTAGGACCTAAGTGGGAACTTTTTTGAGTGTATGATGAAAACTTTATGTATGAGATATAATGCTAATAAAGCCTTAAATTCTAAAATCAGCAAGGTAGGGCTTGGTAACTTGCATAAATTGGCTCTCTGAAAGTAGAAGGGAGAGTACGACATAGGTAGAGGACTAGAAAGGACCAGATAGTACAGGGCCTGGCTACAAAGATACAGTCTTTTACTATGCTATTGCAATACTGAACAGTAAGTGTTAGGCTGTTAAGTGACTCAGGAAATAAGATTTTGGGAAAAATAATCTGATTATGTGCACAAAATGGATTCAAGCTTGCAAATAATGTAATATATGGATGGTGATTCAAGGGAAGAGATACAATGGTTCAAACCCAAGAGGAGCAGTGAGGTCTGTGGAATGTGAAGGATGGACAAAGGTGGAGTGAGGAAGACATGGTGTTCGATTGACAGTGGGGAATGAGAAGGAAGAAGGAGGTGATAAATGACTGAAAGCTCCCAGCTGTGTGAAGATAACAGGAGGAAACCATGCACTGACCTGGGGACCCTCATGTATGAAGCATAGAGGGGTATTAACTGATTCACTTTTGAGGAAGTGCTGGATTGCTCAGGGAGTTTTGAACTTCAGATCTTTTGTCTTTCTTATCAAGGCTTGAGACCTTCACATTTTCCAAGTTAGAGTGTCGTATTTTGGCAAATATAATTTTATTAGTCATTTTATTTCCCCCACATATCTGTCAGACTTTGCTCTGTGAATTACCTTTTAATCTGGCTGTATATATCCAGAATATGGAAGAGAGAAAAATAATTATTATAGTTGCAGGCTATCAACAACACGGGTCTCTCTGAACTCTACAAACCTTTCAATATGCCCATAAACAGAGTAAACAGGGATTATTCGTGGCACTAAATATTTTCACCTCATCAGTCAGTTAACGAATGAGAGCAATGTGCGTTTTTTGGTACATAATGTTTGTACGTATTTATGGGGTACATATGATACATGCATAGAATGTGTAATAATTAGATATTTAGAATATCCTTTGCTTTGAGCATTTATTATTTCTGTGTTGAGAAAATTTCATTTCTAGCCATTTTGAAATATATAATAAATAGTAATTATAGTCACCCTACTCAAATATTGAGCATTAGGCTTACTCCTTCTATTAACTGTGTTTGTACCTGTTAACCAACATCTCTTAAATCCCCTGCTATGCACACTCATACTTTTTCCAGCCTCTGATAACTTTCATTCTACCACCATGAGACTCACTTTTTTACCTCCCACAGATGAATAAAAACATGCGATATTTGACTTTCTATGTCTGGTTTATTTTATTATCTCTCCCCTTGGCATACCAAGAGTTTGTTTTTCTTCTGCTTCAGAGCTTTGAATTAACATAATGACCTCTAGTTCCATCAGTGTTGCAACAAATATCAAGATTTCATTCTTTTTCATGGCAAAATAGTACTGTGCAAAGATATCAAATTTTTTATCAATTCATCTGTTGATAGACACTTAAGTTGATATCAAACCTTGACTATTGTGAATAGTGTTCAATAAACATGGGTGTAATGTATCCATTGGATATATTGACTTCCTTTCTTTTGGATAAATACTAACTAGTGAGATTGCTGGATTGTATGATAGTTCTATTTTTAGTTTTTTGAGAAATCTTCCTACTGTTTTCCATAATGGCTGTACTATTTTACATTCCCACCAACAGTGTGTAAGAAAGAGTTCCCTTTTCTCCTTATCCTCACAAGCATCTGTTATTTTTTGACTTTTTGATGATAACCATTTTAACTAGGGTAAGTAGATATCTCATTGTAGTTTTGATTCGTATTTCCTTAATGATTGGGATTTGAGCGATTTTTTTCATATACCTGTTGGCCATTTGCATGTCTTCTTTTGAGAAATGTTTATTCAGAACTAATCTTTGCTCAGGTGTAGGCAAAGATTTTATAGCTAGAACCCCAAAAGCACAGGCAGCAAAAACAAAAATAGACAAATGGAAATATAAAGCTTCTGCACAACAAAGAAAACCGTCACTAGAGTGAAGAGACAATCTGTTGAATAGGAAAAAATATTTGCAAACTACTCATTTGACAAGGGTCTGATATCCAGAAAATGCAAAGAACTTAAACAACTCTAGAGCGAAAACTAAAATAAAAACATGCGAGCAATATGCATTAAAAATTATGTCCATAGGTTATTTGGGGGAACAGGTGGTGTTTGTTTACATAAGTTAGTGGTGACTTGTGAGATATGGGTGCACTCGTCACCCCAAACAGTATACCCTGAACACAACTTGTAGTCTTTTATCTCTCATTCCCTTCACTCTCTTACCCCTGAGTCCCAAAAGTCCATTGTGTCATTCTTATGCCTTTGCATCTTCATAGCTTCGCTCTCATTTATAAATGAAAACATATAATTTTTGGTTTCCATTCCTGAGTTATATACTGTGGTGTATATATATGTTTTATAAATATATACATATTTATAAATATATTTACATATATATCACAGTTTCTTATACCACATATATATACATATACACACTACACACACACACACACACACACACACACACGCATGCACACACATATTACAGTTTCTTTATCCATTAATTGATTGGTGGTCATTTGGGTTGGCTCCACAATTGCGAATTGTGCTGTTATAAACAAGTGTCTGCAAATATCTTTTTCATATAATGACTTCTTTTCCTCTGGGTAAATAAATACCCAGTAGTGGGATTGTTGGATCAAATAATGGTAGTTATACTTTTAGTTCTTTAAGGAATCTTTGCACTGTTTTCCATAGTGGTTGTACTAGTTTACATTCCCACCAGCAGTGTAGAAGTGATCCCTTTTCAACACATCCACGCAAACATCTATTTTTTAAAAATATTTTTTGATTATGGCCATTCTTGCAGGAATACGGTGGTATCACATTGTGGTTTTGACTTGCATTGCCCTAACCATTAGTGATGTTGAGAATTTTTTCATATGTTTGTTGGTCCTTTTATCTATTTTTGAGAATTGTCTATTCATGTCCTTAGCCTACCTTTTTAATGTGATTGTTTTTTTTTTTCTTGCTTGTTTGAGTTCATTGTAGAGTCTGGATATTATTCTTTTGTCATATGTATAGATTGTGAAGATTTTCTCCCACTCTGTGGGTTGTCTGTTTATTCTGCTGACCTTTCCTTTTGCTGTGTAAAAGCTTTTTAGTTTAATTCAGTCCCAGATATTTATCTTTATTTTTATTGTATTGCATTTGGGTTCTTGGTCATGAAATCCTTGCCTAAGCCAAAGTCTAGAAGAGTTTTTCTGAGATTTAAATCCTTGATCCATCTTGAGTTGTTTTTGTATAAGGTGAGAGAGGAGGATCCAGTTTTATTACAGTACATGTGGCTTGCCAGTTATCCCAGCACCATTTGTTGAATAGAGTCACCTTTCCCTACTTTATGTTTTTGTTTGCTTTGTCTAATCTCAGTTGGCTGTAAGTATTTAGGCTTATTTCTGAGTTCTCCTATCTGTTTCATTGGTCTATGTGCTTATTTTCATACCAGTATCATGCTGTTTTCATGACTATGGCCTTACAGTATAGTTTGAAATCAGGTAATGTGATGCCTTCAGATTTATTCTTTTTGTTTAGTCTTGCTTTGTCTATGTGGGCTCTTTTTTGATTCCATAAGAATTTTTGGATTGTCTTTTCTAGTTCTGTGAAAAATGATGGTGGTATTTTGGTGGGAATTGCAATAAATTTGTAGATTGCTTTTGGAATTATGATCAATTTTATAATATTTATTCTACCCATCCATGAAAATGACATTTGTTTCCATTTATTTGTGTCTTATATGAGAACTTTCAGCAGAGTTTTGTAGTTTTGCTTGTAGATTTTTTCACCTCCTTGGTTAGGTATATGTTCCTAAGTTTTTGTTTGTTTGTTTGTTTTGTTTTGTGTTTGCAGCTATTGTAAAAGGAGTTGAGTTCTTGATTTTATTCTCAGCTTGATCATTTTTGGTATATAAGAGAGCAACTAATTGGTGTACATTAATTTTGTATCTAAAATCTTTGCTGAATTCTTTTATCAGTTCTGGGAGGTTTGGAGGAGTCTTTAGGGTTTTCTAGGTACATGATCATATCATCAGCAAACAGTGACAGTTTGATTTCTTCTTTCATGATTTGGATGCACTTTATTTCCTACTCTTGTCTGAATGCCCTGGCTAGGACTTCCAGGAATATGTTGAAGAGAAGTAATGAGAGTGGGTGTCCTTGTCTTGTTCCAGTTCTCAGAGGGAATACTTTTAACTTTTTCCCATTCAATATAATGTTGGCTGTGTGTTTGCCATAGCTGGCTTTTATTACATTGAGGTATGTCCTTTGTACACTGATTTTGCTAAGAGTTTTAGTCATAAAGGGAT